TTAATTTGTGTAATTGATTCATTCTTCGAGATTTGGAGGAAAGATTATATCTTTGCTGTTGTGGAGATCTGGGACCTTCTTCATCTCCTTTGTCCCATGAGGACTCGTTTTCCTTCAGATGCTTGTAAAGAGCCACTGTTAAGCTCCATCAATCCTCAGTCATGGCTCCAAGTTGAAAGAGGAAAGCTCACGAAACTCTCACCTCAGTCTCCATCTTCATTGTATGTACTCTTTCCAAACTGTTTGATGTTTTGTGCGTGTTGATGACCTCGTTTATTAATATGATATATTCTCATTGTTTCACAGTGATACCCTTGTAAAGGTTCCGGATCCCCCGGTCCTCCCACTCTACAAGCCCGTCGACTATGTTAAAGTCTTGGCCCAAATTCACGAAGAGCTCGAGTCGTGCCCCCCTGCCGAAAAATCGAGCCTTTACTTGTTGCAATATCACGTCTTCAAAGGCCTTCGCGAGTCCAAGCTGATGAGGAGGAGCCTCCGCTCGGCCTGGCTCAACTCGAGCACTGTCTACGAAAAGCTCATCTTCGGGGCGTGGCTAAAGTACGAGAAGCAGCAAGGAGAAGAGATCATATCCGAATTGCTTTCCTCCTGCGGCAAATGCAAAAACGAGTTTGGTTCAATAGATATCGCCTCTGAATTTCCTAAGAGGGAACAACAACCCCAAACCTCCAAGAACCCGACAAACCCCATCCTTGCCCCCCGTCTCGTTTCTTTCCAAATCGGAGACGAGAAGGTAATTTGCGAAAGGCGGGCAATAGCCGGGCTCTCGGTTCCGTTTCACGCCATGCTCAACGGGTGTTTCACAGAATCTTTCAAAAACGTCATTGATCTCTCTGAAAACAACATATCTCCTTTAGGAATGAGAGCGATAAACGATTACTGCATAACGGGAGTCTTGAGTGATGATGTCCCACACTGTCTTTTGTTAGAGATATTAGTTTTCGCAAACAGGTTCTGCTGTGAAGGCCTTAAAGATGCCTGTGACAAGAAACTCGCTTCCTTAGTTTCCTCCAGCCAAGATGCAATTGAGCTCGTAGAATTTTCACTCGAGCATAATTCCCCAGTATTAGCTGCCTCCTGCCTGCAAGCTTTTCTCCTCGAACTCCCCATATTGCTGGAAGACGAGCGTGTGGTCAGGCTGCTAACCGGCCTCGACGGGCAGCAGAGATCGATCATGGTGGGGCCCGCCTCATTTTCCCTCTATTCTTTATTATCTGAGGTTGCTTTAGATTCCGATCCGTCCTCCGATTCATCCGTTCTTTTCCTGAAGCAACTGGCGGACTGTGCCGTGACAGGTCAGCAGAAAATGATCGCATTCCACCAACTGGGTTGTGTTCATCTAATGAGAAAAGAGTATGAAGAGGCCGAAAGGCTGTTCGAAGCAGCCCTAGCTGAAGGCCACATATATTCTGTTTCGGGCCTGGCCCGAATAGGAGGCTTCATCGGGGGTCGTAAAGAGTGGGCCCGCGAGAAAATCACATCCGTAATAACCACCTCTTACGCCCCACCGCTCGGGTGGATGCATCAGGAGCGTTCGTTGTACTATGATGACGACGAGGGCAACAACAATAATTATAATAATAATAATAATAATAATAATAATAATAATAATAATAATAATAATAATAATAATAATAATAATAATAATAATAATAATAATAATAATAAGTTCGAGGAGCTCGATCGGGCTACTGAGCTGGACCCCACACTGACCTACCCTTACATGTATCGGGCCGCATCGTTAATGAGGAAACAGGACGTGCAGTCGGCTCTCGACGAGATCAACCGGGTGCTCGGTTTTAAGCTGGCCTTGGAATGCTTGGAGCTTCGGTTTTGTTTCTACCTAGCGATGGAGGATTATCAATCGGCTTTATGTGATGTTCAGGCGATACTCACGTTGTGTCCCTGTTATAGGATGCTCGGAGGGCGAGTGGCGGCCAAGCAGCTTCGTGTGCTTATACGGGAGCATGTGGATAAGTGGACTACGGCCGATTGCTGGCTGCAGCTTTATGATAGGTGGTCTTTGGTGGATGATATCGGGTCGTTGTCTGTGATATATCAGATGCTCGAGTCAGATGCGGCTAAAGGCGTCCTTTACTTTAGACAATCGTTGCTTCTTCTCAGGTGACTAACTCCTACCCCCCCCACGGAAATTTGGTATCATATGTTGTGCAAGAAAAATAGTGCTTTATTGGTTTTGCTTATTAGTAGTAGTGTAGTGTCTGATATTGCTGTTTTCTTTGTTGCATCACAACAGCATTTAAGCATTGTTGTCTCCAGTAATTTGGGCAATGCATTTTTAAGGTAATTTTGGCTTAAATGTTGATAACTAGAAGTAGTGTTGCATTTTGTCAAGAACCATTTCTGAAGTATCTCTGGAAATAACTAAATGTTTTGCAATTGTGGGGAAATAAAACTTTATTTCAATGGTAAAAGTGATGAAAAAAATGGAAAAATAATTTTGGTGGAAGGATAAATTAATTTTGAGTATGTGAATAGATATGAGATAAAATGTGTGTGATAATTGAATAGTAAAATAATGATTGGTAGTTAAAAATATGTGAGTGGATGAATAGTGAATTTTGTCGGGAAATTTGTAGTAATGATTGATTTATACTTCTTAATTGTGTTGATAAAATTGGAGTGAAAAATGTTTATCCAATGAGACGAAACTTGATACAATTCATATCCAACTTGATATAATTAGTGGTATATTAAATTCATAAGGAAAAAGGTAATTTTAGTTATACCACATTACCTGTACCTGCATTTGTTTCCTTCAAAATAATCTATCTTTATGGTTTTTGAGCTAATATTTAGCTAGTACCTGAAATATTCAGCCATTTTTTTTATTGTATTGCACTCTTAGCTTACCTGGCTTCATACATAAATTCCAAACCGGTTTTTAATTACCCATTTTGAATTTTTGGTATCTAAAATCCCAATTCTTAATTATGCATCAGTTGGCTCGAAAACTGACCTATTTTTAATTCTGTTCTTATCAGACTCAATTGTCCTGAAGCTGCAATGAGGAGTTTGCAGTTGGCTCGCCAGCATGCATCGAGTGAACCTGAAAGATTAGTTTACGAGGGATGGATATTATACGACACTGGTCATTGTGAAGAAGGTCTACAAAAAGCAGAGGAGTCGATTAATCTCCAGAGATCCTTTGAAGCTTTTTTCTTGAAAGCCTATGCTTTAGCCGACTCGAGTCAGGATCCATCTTGTTCGTCTACTGTTGTCTCGCTTCTTGAAGAAGCTTTGAAGTGCCCTTCGGACAGACTTCGCAAAGGCCAGGTACGGTATTTTCCTCTTTTGCTAAATGGAAAATCTTGGAAGACTCGAGTCACTGCTGGTTGTTTAATTTCATGTGTGGCAGAGTTTATTTTTGGATTTGTATTTTGTACATTGAGGTTTCGAATATGGCAAGTGCTTTTCATGACAATTTTTT